CAGGGTCTTTCGCGTCGGGAGGACGTCCCAAAACACTTCGCAGGATATTTGTGGGCGAAAGACGACAATCAGTTGCACAAGGCCAAGGCCCACAAATAGTCGTGGAGGAAGTGACCAATTTTATTTGAGGGATTGTTGACCAGGACAACGTGAGAGAGAAACTCCCTTCTCTTTTTGAACAGCATCTTGGGATCTTCACTATCCACCTAAATGGGCAGACGGGACCTCGGTCTAATGTCTCACCCGAAGGACGTCAGCTTAGACTGTGTGATTCAAAGTCCCAGTTGAACCCACAACCTTCTGACTCAGAGGCGAGAGAGAGAGAGAGAGAGAGAGAGAGAGCGCCATCACTGCGCCAGGCTGGCACGCAGATAAATAGATATAAAATAATAGTTTGCGGTGGGGAGAGGGTGGTGGGGGGGGTGGGAGGCTGAAGGCATTGCTCTTTCAAAGAGCCGACTCAGACACGATGGGTCAAACGGAGCTTCTTCTGTGCTGTATGTTTCCTGGGTTACTTGAGATCAAATCAAAGGACCTTCATCATCCAACCTCTTTTGTCATCTTGTGTCTGCGTGGCCTTCACTAAGGAAGAAAGCGTTTGTACTTAACTTGTCACGTCGAAATGTCTCAAAGAGCTTCAGGTAATTATTCCTCACGTGAAGGAAGGCACCAGCTCAGGGCTGATCGGTCTGGCAGCCTGTTTCTGTGCTGTAATGTTAATTAAATAAATGTTAATCCAAATAGCAGAGAACCTCTGTGGCTGATACCTGATCACTGCATAGTCCTCGTCATAGGTGAGGAAGATGCTTTAAAGACCATCTGTATCGTAGTGGTTAGAGCACTCGCCTTGCAAGCGAGAGCACCAGATTCGCAACCTAAGGCAAGTTTCCTTACGCCACACACACACACGCGCGCCTCTGTTTACCTAGCAGTAAGTAGGAACCCAGTTGTTAGTCGATTGGCGGATCGCTTTTCCGAGTTTTATATAATTCCTTCAGAAAAATAAAGAAATAAGAAATAATAATAGTCATTTGGTCACTTAATCCACGACTGTTTGTGGGACGCTGCTGTGCGCAATTGGTTGCCACCTTTTGACCACAAAATGGACAGTCAATTCACTATACTGTAATTCCCGTGAAGCGCTTTGAGACGTCTCAACGACGTGATAAAGTGTTATATAGCAAATGTTCCCCTCCTTTTTTCAGCTCAGCTCGGGCTCCTAATCCGCTGTTTGAAGTGCTTTGAGACGTCACCCTGATGTGAGGCTGTATATAAGTGTAACTTGGCGCTGCTTAAAGTGACCTACTGGGTTTGGGTGTGTTTGGTGACCTACCTTTCTGGGCTGACAGGAAACCGAGGACAATTAGGTATCGGCAACAGTCAGTGGAAAGGACACAATATTCTTCCCATCTGTACAGCTCTTCACTGAAATAGACTGTGATTCCAGCAGCCCAATGTCTTATAAATCACTTACAACGCACTCCTGACGTCTTTGTTCCCTCAAACAGTCGTAGGTTGACTGACCAATTTATTTATTTATGTCGAAGCCTTTGATGTTGCACAGAATTTAGAGCAATTACTTTGGTTTGTTCGTCGTGAGCGGGAAGCAATTAATGACGCTTGCGAAACTGCCTGTGTGATGTCTCGAAGCGCTTTGCAGGGAATCTCTGTAAGTATAATGACTTTGTAGAGGGACGAGAGATGGTTTTGTGGGCAGCGAGCTCCCGCGGACAGCCACGAAGCAAGGGGTGGCGTTTTGGAACCTGGAGGCTTGTCAGTCGGCCAGGATTTTTTTTTACACCTCCGGCCCTTCGTGTCTGGAACAGCTACTGACTAATCCCCACTCGCGCCCCATCGCCCTGCAATTTTTTTCCTTTCGAGTCCCTATATCCAAGTCCCTTCCAAAAGCTACTATGGAATCTGCTTCCACCAGCCTTTCAGGCAGTGCATTCCAGACCGTAACAACTCTCTGGGTAAAAAATATTCTCCTCGTCTCCCGTCTGGCTCTTTTGCCAGTAATCTTAAATCTGCGTCCTCTGGTTACCGACCCCTCGCGCCAGTTTCTCTTTATCTACTCTACCAAAACCCCTCAGAATTTTGAACACCTCGATCAGACCTGTTGCCGAGAGATTATGGTTCTATCTGCCCACAGCTGCCTTGTGGACGAGACCAGTCGGAGAGAGCATCTCGCTCGCTCTCTGGCTCTCAACGGCTCTCTTCGTCATGGCAACCATGCAGTCCGCTCTTGCAAACAAAACCCAGTCACTGCCATGACGGAATCAACCAGGCTCCACCGCACATTAACCCCCAACTCACTGAGACCATCAATAGCCATCCTTGCATTTGATACAGCGCCTTATCGCGTCTTCGAGACATCTCAAAGCGCCTCACGCGATGGACTGTGAAGTGAATTGCCTGTGCACCTTGTGGGCGAAACGCGGGACAGCCAATTGCGCGCAGCAGCGTCCCCACAAACAGCCGTGGATTGAGTGACCAAATGATTTGTTATCTTTAAAAAAATTTGAGGGATTGTTACCCCCGAGAAAGTGATCTGCCACTCGACTAAAAACACGTACCTGCTTACAAAATATTCCTACTTCACACAACAGTTGCCCGCAAAACACACGGTCAATTTGCCCTGCATTGTCTATGAAGCGCTTTGAGACGTCTCAAAAATGTGATAAGGTGCTATATCAAATGCAATAATTATTATTATCATTACTGCGAGGCAAAGAGAAGAGTGTGGGGTAAGGAAACATGCTTAAGGTTTTGCCCTACCCGGGAATCAAACCTCTCGCTTGCGAGGCGAGCGCTCTAACCACTAAGCTACAGTGACTCCCGACTCACTGAGATTCTTAATTCAGAAGCAGTTCTTAAAAAGAAACCGGCTTCTGAACCAAGACCGAATGAAAGAATTCGCCACAGTTAGGTGCCCATTGTGGAGTCCTGTAGTTCAGTGGTCAGAGCACTCGTGAGCAAGAGGAACTCGGTTCGATTCCTGGCAGGGCAAAACGTTAGGTAAATTTCCTTACTCCACACGCCTCTGTTTACCTTGCAGTAAGTAGGATCGCTTTTCCGGGGGTAATAAACCTTAGGAAAAATAATAATAATAATTTGGCCACTCAATCCACGACTGTTTGTGGGACACTGCTGTGCGCAATTGGCTGCCGCGTTTCACCCACAGAATATACAGTCAATTCACTTTGCAGTATATTCTGTGAAGCGCTTTGAGACGTCTCGATATCAAATGCGAGGATTATTAGTACTATCCTAAATTGTAAGGCAAAACTGTCCTGCAGGCTAAGACTAGCTGGAATTTGGAGCCTTTGGACTCCGAGGCTGGAAACTGGTCACCTTCGTCCACAGCACGAGATAGCTTCACACCAACCTGTGTGTGGCCGCTGTACTCCGTCTCACACCCACACACACCACACACACACACCACACACTTTCGTACACATACACACACACACACACCTCACCCCCCCACACACACACCATCCACACACATACACACAGTACCCACACACTCACATACACACCTCACACCCACACACACACACACTCACATACACCTATACACCTCACACCCCACACACACTAGACATCAAGCACACACATACACCACATACACAACCACACACGCGCACACCACACACACACACCATACATGTACACACACATCATGCACAAGTACACACACCACACGCATATCCAAACACCACACACACACACACACACATATATACACAAGGTCCCACGGGGATTAAGCAGGGGGATTAAGTGCTGTAGCAATGGATGCTTTAGACATGAAAAGTACAGTGAAGAATCCCCCTCAGTGGGAATGGTGAGTGGCTGAGCCACTCTCCTCTGTGTGGCTGTCACTTCAGGCTGTAGTTTTGGTTACCCGCAATGTTCAAGAGTTGCTCTGAAATTGCTAACTGTACCAGAGACTGTACCTGGGCATCCGAGCACATCAAAGTGTCAAACCTCTCTCTCAAGCAAGCAATGGCTGTGAGAACGGTCGGGCTGGGACAGAGCTGAGAGACACACAGGAGCCAGAGAGCTCCAGTGGGGGAGCGAGCCCCAGTGCAGACACGATGGGGAGAGAGCAGGGGAATGGGGTTAGAATAGAGAGCTCCAGTGGGGGAGCGAGCCCCAACACAGACACGATGGGGAGAGAGCAGGGGAATGGGGTTAGAATAGAGAGCTCCAGTGGGGGAGCGAGCCCCAGTGCAGACACGATGGGGAGAGAGCAGGGGAATGGGGTTAGAATAGAGAGCTCCAGTGGGGGAGCGAGCCCCAGTGCAGACACGATGGGGAGAGAGCAGGGGAATGGGGTTAGAATAGAGAGCTCCAGTGGGGGAGCGAGCCCCAGTGCAGACACGATGGGGAGAGAGCAGGGGAATGGGGTTAGAGTAGAGAGCTCCAGTGGGGGAGCGAGCCCCAGTGCAGACACGATGGGGAGAGAGCAGGGGAATGGGGTTAGAGTAGAGAGCTCCAGTGGGGGAGCGAGCCCCAGCACAGACACGATGGGGAGAGAGAACAGGGGAATGTTCTCACAAATGAGGTTCAGTCCCGGGCAGGGGGCGAAATGTTTCCCTACTCCGCACACCTCTGTTTACCCAACAGTAAGGAGAAACCTGTCTGACAGTCGACTGGTGGATCACTTTTCCCGGGGTAATAATTCCTTCAAGAAAAAAAATTATAATTAACTGGTCACTCAATCCACGGCTGTTCATGGGGACACTGATGTGTGCAATTGGCTGCCGTGTTTCTCCCACAAAATATACAGTCAATTCACTTGACAGTGTAACCTGTGAAGCGCTTTGAGACGTCTCGAAGACGTGATAAGGCACTCTATCAAATGCGAGGATTATTATTATGCTTATTATCATAATGGATTAGAGTAGAGAGCTCCAGTGGGGGGATGAGCACCAGCACAGACACAGATATGATGGATGAAAGTCAGAAACAATCCAAGCTCTCGTCTTTTCCAGGTTTTGGGATGACCACTCCGGCCACGGTGTCGGGCAAAATCTTCCTGATATTTTACGGGCTGGTGGGCTGCGCGGCGACCATCTTGTTCTTCAACTTGTTCCTGGAGCGCCTGGTCACGCTGCTGGCCTACATCCTGAAGAGCCTGCATGAGAGACAGCTGAGGAGAGGGGGGCTCCTACCCCAAGACAACAGCCAGGAACCAAGCCCCATGGCGGAGGTGGACAGCCTGGCCGTGTGGAAACCCTCCGTTTATTACGTGATGCTAATCCTGGGCGTGGCGGCCATTTTGATCTCCTGTTGTGCCTCTGCGATGTATGTTCTCGTCGAGGGCTGGAGCTACCTGGACTCCCTCTACTTCTGCTTTGTGGCTTTCAGCACCATTGGCTTTGGGGACCTGGTGAGCAGCCAGAAGGTGGCCTACCGGCTCCAGGGCCTGTACAAGTTCGGTAACTTCATCTTCATCCTCATTGGCGTCTGCTGTATCTACTCTCTCTTCAACATCATCTCCATCGTCATCAAGCAGTTCCTCAACTGGATGCTGAGGAAGTCTGGTTGGCGGTTCTGCCAGGGTTGGCAGAGGAAGCTCTTCCCGCCCCGCAGGAACGCTGTTGTGCCGGGGAACGAGTGGCCCAGGCGCAAGATCTCCATCGAGACGGACGGGGTGAACGAGAGCGAGACAGATGGACGCCGCGTGTCCGGGGAGCTCATCTCCATGAAGGACTTCCTGGCCTCCAACAAGGTGTCTCTGGCCATCATGCAGAAACAGCTGTCAGAGACGGCCAACGGTCACCCGAGAGCCATCAGCAACTGCTCCCGGCATGACAACTTCTTGGGGGGAGTCGGGCCTCTGGCCATCATGAACAACAGGCTGGCGGAGACCAGTGTAGAACGCTAAGACCACCCAAAAAGGGTCGCAGTCACCCCCTGTCTTCAAAACCAATAGCACCAACAACAAATTACTTTCACGTCAGGAGAACGTCCCAAGGCGCTGGACAGTCAGGGATTTGGACCCGGGGGGAGGGTGGTGGGGATGTGGGGGGAAGGCGGGGTTGGGGGCACGTCATCGATTCCCGTCCATGTCGACCTTCCCAATTCCAGGGTTTCTTCGGGACATTTTGACCTGTGGACGGACGGACCCTCGGTTTTGCACTCGCCTTCAAACCTCTCGGGGTAGAAATTCTGTCCAGCCTTTGGCTGATGAGCCAAAGTAACAGGCAAATAATAATAATAATCCTCACGGTTGATAGAGCGCCTTATCACATCATCGAGACGTCTCAAAGCGCTTCACAGGATAAACTGTAAAGTGGAGTGACTGTATTTTGTGGGCGAAAAATCCATTTGTTATATTTACATGTCCCGTTTTAGTAGCCGACATCAACAATTGGCCAATGTGCCTGACTCAACTTTTAGCCACTTTAACTCGCGGCCTTGTCTTAAAAATGTTAGGATCGGACAAAATATTTGCGAAGATCCCGAAAATCTGGTCGTAATTCGGAAGCCACTTTCTTTTTATGAACCGCGCATGAAACAGACGGCTTTCGGATTAAGAATGGATTTGGAGATTTTACGCGAGGGTTTCAAGGCTGAGGTTTGGGACCTCAGTTTGGATGGGTTTGTTGAGTAAAATGTATATCGCCTTTCACCCCCATTGTACCTGCAACATAAAGATTCAGATAGATCTTATTTTGTGGGTAAAGTATTTATAAGGTTCATTGGGATTGTGGGTGAAGGAGATGGGAAGCCAGCAATAGAGATGGGGGTGGGAGGAGGGTGTTGGGTATATGGATGGGGAGGGTACTAGTTGGGGGTGAGACCTTCTCTTTCCCATTCACTTAGGTCAGAAGATTGATCTCAAGCCAGGCTGTCGCTCCAAGATCTCTCTGCCACCATCACTTCGAACAGTGTTGGCCAACCTGTGGCCCACGGGCCAGAAGTGGCACAAGGGGCCATCAAGAAGCTCCCTCACCCCCCAAATATCACCCCCCCCCCCCCACCCCCCCGACCCCCAACCCCCGAACATTCACAAGAGTCTAGGTAAGTCCGTGTTCAATCGGTAGTGTGTTTTCATTCTTTTCTTGATTGAATATTTCTTAATTTATAATAATAATCCTTGCATTTGATGTAGCGCCTTATCACATCTTCACAGGATATACTGTAAAGTGAATAACAGACTGTATACTAACAACCGGGTTCCTACTTACTGCTAGGTGATCTGAGGGGTGTGGAGTAAGGGAACTTGCCCAACATTTCGCCCAGCCGGGAATCGAACCTAGGTCTCTCGCTTGCGAGCGCCTTGAGTGCTCTAACCACTGAGCTGCTGGACTCCACGGCACAAAATCAAGAAATATTCAATCAAGAAGATTTATTTTTTTGGTCGACTGTAAAAGTTGGCCACCAGTGGCTTAGAAGAAGCCTAAACGGTTGCTGTCGTGGGACACTGACTGGTTTTTGAGTCTGTGAGTTAAATTTAAGTAGAACGCATCCCATTGCAGGATAACAAGTTCCACTCAGACATCAAAGATCTACAAAAGGGAACTTAGGATCAGGAGAAGATCATTCAGCCCACCAAGCCTGCTCCACCACAGACCACTCCATGGCTCTGCCCAAGTAAATGGATCTCTCTGCCATCACAGAGAGTGATTGTAAAGTGTCACCGTGACTATAACTCACATTTTATTGCAGCAAAAAAATAAATGTCTTCAAGCACTTCACAAAATATAATTGATCTATTCATAATGATAATAATTCTTGTATTCGGTATAGCCCTTATCTCATCGTTGAGATTCTCAAAGAGCTTCACAAGATATACTGTAAAATGCATTGCCTGAAAGGCTGGTGGAAACTGATTCGATAACAACTTTTAAGAGAGAAGTAAATAATTATTTGGGGAGGACAAGTTTGCAGGGCTGTGGGGAGAGCGCGGGGGAGCGGAGTTGATTTGGATAGAGCCCTTATCTCAAAGAGCCGACACAGACACGATGGGCCGAATGGCCTCTTTCTGTGCTGTATAATTCTATGATTCTACGACTGTATAGTTTGGGGACAAATGAAGCGAGGGTTGTTACAGAGGGAAACACGGCACTGTCACAAATAACAATGAGACGAGCAGCCCATTGATTTGATTTTGCGGTAAATTTGGGTTAGAAGAAACTTGTCTGTTTGACAAGTCTGCAATAGCAACGGCAGAGAGAAGTCCCTTTACACGAGCTCCAACCACAAGGCAAACCTATAAGATCATCAAAGGCACGATAGAGTAGATAGAGAGAGATTGTTTCCCCTGGTTGGAGAAACTAAAACCAGGGGTCACAACCTTAAAATCAGAGGTCAGCCCTTTCGCACTGAGTTGAGGAAGAACTTCTTCACTCAAAGAGTGGTGAATGTATGGAACTCACTACCCCAAAGGGCTGTTGACGCTCAGTCCTTGAAGATATTCAAGACTAAGATAGATAGATTTCTTATTGCAAAAGGGATTAAGGGATATGGGGATAAGGCAGTGTCAGGTTATTAGCTGGAGTTAGATTAGAAGATCAGCCGTGATTGAATGGCGGGGCAGGCTTGAAGGGCCTAATGGTCTACTACTGCCCCTTCATGTTATGTTATGTTAAACAGGACCCAAAGTCCTCTTCAGTCCCTTTAAAGTTCTCCACCTCTGGGACCTATTAAAACTTCACCTACCTGTCCGCTCCCTCTGCACTACAGGCACCGGCTTGCTCCATGTCCCCCACCCTGTCTGCTCCATCATTGGAGGTTGGGCCTTCAACCTTTGAAGCGATGGAGGAGGGTAGCGTCTCAGAATGCTTAACAGTTTGACTGTGTCGAACGCGGCAGAGAGATCCAGGAGGACGAGGAGGCAGAGATCTGGTCACAGATAGAATGTCATTTGTGACATTGACAAGCGCTGTCTCTGTGCTGTGGGCAGTCGGGGTGAAAACCAGACTGCAGGGGCTCGAGGAGGGAGTGGAGGGAGAAGTGTGACCGCAGTTGACCCTCAACAATGCGTTCCAGGACTTTGGCAAGGAAGGGTAGGTTGGAGATGGGACGGTAGTGTGAGAGATGAGAGGGATCGAGGGTGGGTTCTTTGAGCAGTGGTGTGATGATAGCGGTTTTCAGGGGAAGTGGAACAGAGCCTGAGGAGAGAGACTGATTGACCGTGTCGGCCAGCAGGGGAGAGAGAAGGGGGAGTTGAGCGACCAGCAGCCGGGTGGGGAGGGGTCGAGGGAGCAGGTGGTGAACTTCATCCGGGTGATTGCATTTGAGAGGGAGAAGGGAGAAATGAGGGCAAAGGAGTGTAAGGAGGGGGTAGTGGCAGGAGCTGTGGTGGAGGGAGAAGGCTGTGTGGACGGTCTGGGTGGGGTGGAAAGGACATGGGAGGGAGGACGATGCAGCCAAGCGGATGTTATCTTTGAGGCAAAGAAGTCTAGGACCCCTTCGCACTTGGCATTTGACGTGAGGATCGAGGGGACTTGAGGGGGTGCACGGAGGAGGTGATGGACGATGGAAAACAGTGTCTGTGGGTTGTTTTTGGCCTCCAGGATGACTGGAGTAAAAGTCAGTTGTGGTCTGTGAAAGGGAGAGGCAGTGGGTGTGGAGGTGCTCGAGCCACAGATGGTGATGAATCACGATTTCTGCCATCTGCGCTCGAGCATCCGAGTTTGTGTTTTGAGTGAGCGGAGATGAGTGTTGTACCGGGGGAGCGGGTGGGTTGGGAAACAACCCTGGATTTCAGGGGAGCCAGGGAATTGAAGGTTGTGGAGAGACGGTCATTCAACAACAACAACAAAATTACATTTGTAAAGCGTCTTTCACGTCGGGAGGACGTCCCAAGCCACCGGACACTCAGGGATCAGGACCCGAGCGTGGCAGGGTTGGGATGAGGGAGGGCAGAGGGAGGTAGGAGGGCGGCTGAAGGCACGGTCAAAAAGACCTTGAAGGAGACGAGAGGGAACGAGGTGAAGGGATTGCGAGATGGAGTTCCTAAGTGTGGGCAGAGTGTCTGAAAGCTCGGCCACTGATGGTAGGGCGGATCGGGAGGGAGACCTGGAGCAGGCCAGAGCCTGCTGAATGGAAGGAGCGGACAGGTTGAAGGGGGTCGGCAGACTCCGCAGCTTGACGACTGCATCAGGATCGCTGCGGGTGGAAAGCCAGAGGGAGAGGAGGTCCGAGGAAGAGAGGGCTTTTTTGAGGGACTCGGGGAAGCTTTTTACAGGGGGCGGGAAAAGATGGTGAAGGGTTTGGAAGCAAGGAGGGGAATGCGGGAGGAGATAGAGATGAGGAAGTGGTCCGAGATGGCCTTGTCTGTCCGTGATGGACAGGTTGGAAATGTCAAGGCCATGTGTGATGACAAGGTCGAGGGAGTGGCCATGGTTGTAGGTCAGCGAGTTGATGTGGAGGTTGAGGTTTAGGGAGGAGTGGAGGGGCAGTGAAAGCTGAGGAGGTGGTGCAAGGGGGGTTCAGGTGGAGGTTGAGCAGGTGTTCAGTGCAGAGGGACAGGGATGAGAGGATATAGGAGATACCAGTGAGGAAGAAGCCAAGGGGGTTTAGGGGAGACGGTAAACTAGGAGAATTTTGAGGGAGAGAGAGGAGGGATGGTAGAGGGTGAGGTGCTCAAAGGAGGAGAAAGGGCAGAGGAATAGGGGGATAGACCAAGAGCAGCTTGGGAGATGAGGGCCATGTTGGTTGGGGCGGGGGTTGTGGTGAAAGGTGTAGCCAGGAGGGAAGGCTTCGATGAGGGGGATGGGGTCACCGGGGGAGAGCCAGGTTTCCATTAGCCCAAGAATATTGATGTGCTCATCCATGGATAGTAAGGGCTTTATTGGAGAGGGAGCGGACATTTTGCAGGGAAATGCAGATGGGTTTGCGGGCTGGTCGGTGGGGGGATGGAGGAGAGAGTGGTAAGGAGAGGATTTGGGGTCATGGGTGAGACGTGACCATGGAGTTTGAGGAGGGGGAGAGTTGGGGAGGGTATG